TCGAACGGCATCAAAATCTCGACTTCGAAAATGAGGCCGATTTTTGGCAAATTTAATGATGTAACCATCATGATTTTTTGCGAAAATCGTGAAAAAATTGATGTCCCTTTTTTCGGCGGCAGTCGATTGGCAGGACTCTCGCGGTCACGGAGAGACATGCCACGCTCCGATCGGCCGACGTATCGCAGAGATATAGCGTGCAGGAAAAACCAGTATTTTAATTACTCGCAAATCCCAATCTTTTGAAGGGCATATCTCAGACAAATAGGGCCAGATCGGTCAAGGACCTAGTCTCCCAGGATCGCGAGGATCCAGACTGTCGATCGGCATGAAAATCTCGACTTCGAAAATGAGGCCGACTTTTGGCAAATTTAATGATGTAACCATCATGATTTTTTGCGAAAATCGTGAAAAAATTGATGTCCCTTTTTTCGGCGGCAGTCGATTGGCAGGACTCTCGCGGTCACGGAGAGACATGCCACGCTCCGATCGGCCGACGTATCGCAGAGATATAGCGTGAAGAAAAAACCAGTATTTTACTGAAATACAAGTATCAATCTTTGGAAGGGCATATCTCAGACAAATAGGGCCAGATCGGTCAAGGACCTAGTCTCCCAGGATCGCGAGGATCCAGACTGTCGATCGGCATGAAAATCTCGACTTCGAAAATGAGGCCGATTTTTGGCAAATTTAATGATGTAACCATCATGATTTCTGCGAATATCGGGAAAAAATTGATGTCCCTTTTTTCGGCGGCAGTCGATTGGCAGGACTCTCGCGGTCACGGAGAGACATGCCACGCTCCGATCGGCCGACGTATCGCAGAGATATAGCGTGAAGAAAAAACCAGTATTTTACTGAAATACAAGTATCAATCTTTGGAAGGGCATATCTCTGACAAATAGGGCCAGATCGGTCAAGGACCTAGTCTCCCAGGATCGCGAGGATCCAGACTGTCGATCGGCATGAAAATCTCGACTTCGAAAATGAGGCCGATTTTTGGCAAATTTAATGATGTAACCATCATGATTTTTTGCGAAAATCGTGAAAAAATTGATATCCTTTTTTCCGGCGGCAGTCGATTGGCAGGACTCTCCCGATCACGGAGAGATATGCCACGCCCAGATCGGTCCATAAATAGTCGAGATACAGCCAAAGATAATGAGTGAAAATCGGCCATTTTGGTTGAAAGTTGAGGATTGTTGTTGCACCACAACCAAAATCGTTGGAGAAAGTTTATTTTTCTAATTTTAGATGTAGAACAATGAAAAACAACAACAGACTACAACAAGCCAGTTTTGCTTGATTGTTTTCTCCGCTATTTGTGGCCCGATTAGTGTGATGGCTTCCGGGATCGACCCGACTAAATGGAGCTCTTATCAAGGATCCAAAATATTTTTTCCAATCAAACATATCAGTATTTATTTATTTGTTTTTATTCGACAAAGGAATCAAAATAGTCCTTTACTGACGTATTTCTATCTTAAATAATAATAAAAAACAAAAAATTACAAAATCATATATGAGATAATTGGTCCGCTGGAGATCAACCACAAAGGGTGCATGGGTCCTTAGGCTCCTTGTAGGCGTACTCAAGCCAATACTTCTAATCAGCTCAGGGCAATCGCTGTTATCCACTAAGAATTTATAGCTAAAAAGCTGAGTAGCAAGAGTCCTTCCATCCTAGAGGGAGGAGAGATGCACGAGGTGAAACCTGCGGACTTTCTGGATGCCAGGATGGGCTACAGCTAAAAAAGGCGTAAGTGAATCAGTATATAATTTTGGACATATTTTAAAATATATCTTCTTTCACAGAGGACTTATGTACCCCACGCTTTACCTCAAACCGAGTCGTATCCGGTTTCCCCCGCCACACGGAGTCCTATCCAAGCATTAGCGAGGCGCATTCGGTACTGACCGAGTCCTAACTCAGCCAGACAGAGCCATATCCCAGCAGGACGGAGGCGCACCCCTTGCAATATCAGACCTAACAGCCCATCGTCATCCTTCGACCTGGCCATCGACAAAAAGGGTTTTGTCTATGGCAGCCTAGGAGGGGCTACGCGGACTGCTAGGCTCTAAATAGATCTCGTTGTTGTTAGATTTAAGGATATATAAGGATGTAGATAGTAGATACAAATGCTTTCCACGTGTTCATTTATTTACACTATGCTAAGTTTCGATGAATAAAACGATTGAAAAATAATCCTTGCTGTGTCCTGTATGGGGGTAGCTATCCTGCTTACAAAAAGGCGTGGCAGGTTCAGATCGGTTCACTAATAGCGGAGAAAAATAAAAATTTTTGATTGGGGAAAATGTCCTTGATCCTTGATAAGGACTCCAATAAATCAAGGACATTTTTCGATCACAGGAAGACGTCGGACTCCTAGATCGGCCCACAAATAGCCGAGAAAACTGCATATCTGCGTTTGGGGTTGTTGGGGAGTCCTTGTAGAAGGATTAAGGACATGCTTCTTATCTCGGCGGGCCATGGTGCGTCCCGATCGGGCCACAAATAATGGAGGAAACAAGATATATAGGTCCGGAGAAAATATCCTTGATCCTGGGTCCTTGATAAGGACTGCATCGAGTCAGGGACAGTTTTCCGAACACAGGAAGCCGTCGCGCGTCCCTATCGTGCTTCAAATAACGGAGAAATCAACAAAAGTTGTTCCTGTCAATTGTTGTACAACAAATTGTTGTTGTTGTACAACAACAACTCTCAAATTGCGACCGCTCAAATGGCCAAAATCGAGAATTTTACAACTGGGATACCAGGCGAACAGAAATCAGCAGCAAGCAACTTTTGCGATTGCACAAAAATCGTTGCATACTTTTGGGGGAAAATAATATTTCAAAAAATAAACCAACGACCTTCTGCTGATTTCTGTTCGCCTGGTATCCCAGATCTGAAATTCGAAAAATCTCGGTTTTGAGCGCCACCAAATTGATGTTGTTGTAATAACTGGATGTGGGTGTTGTAATTTGTTGTTCATGGAATACATCCACCATTTTTTATCCGATCGGACCGCGCGACGGCTTCCTGTGCTCGTAATAGCTTCCTTGTTCTAATACAGTCCTTATCCAGGACCCATGATCGAGGATATTTTCTCCGGACATATATATCTTGTTTTCTCCATTATTTGTGACCCGATCGGGACGTGCCATGGCCCGCCGTGATAAGAAAAATGTCCTTAATCCTTCGGTAAGGACTCCTCAACAACCCCAAACGCAGATATGCAGTTTTCTCGGCTATTTGTGGGCCGATCTAGGAGTCCGACGTCTTCCTGTGATCGAAAAATGTCCTTGATTTATTGGAGTCCTTATCAAGGATCAAGGACATTTTCCCCAATCAAAAATATTTATTTTTCTCCGCTACCCCTTTTTGTAAGCAGGATATCTACCCCCAAACAGGACACAGCAAGGATTATTTTTCAGTCGTTTTATTCATCAAAACTTAGCATAGTGTAAATAAATGAACACGTGGAAAGCATTTGTATCTACTATCTACATCCTTATATGTATATCCTTAAATCTAACAACAACGAGTTATATTTATAGTCTAGAAGTCCGCGTAGCCCCTCCTTTGGATGCCATAGACAAAACCCTTGTTGTCGGTGGCCAGGTCGGATGACGATGGGCTGTTAGGTCTGATATTGCAAGGGGTGCGCTTCTGTCCTGCTGGGTTAGGACTCGGTCCGGATAGGTCTTGGTCTTGGATTGGACTCCTCCGTGTGGCGGGGTCAAATCGGACACGACTCGGTTTGAGGTAAAGCGTGGGTTACATAAGTCCTCTGTGAAGGAAGATATATTTGAAAATATGTACAAAATTATATACTGATTTACTTACGCGTTTTGAGGCCATAGCTCCTCCTGGCATCCAGAAAGTTCGCAGGTTTCGCCACGTACATCTCTCCTTCCTCTAGGATGGAAGGACTCTTGCTGCTCAGATCTTTATCTATAATTCTTAGTGGATAACAGCGATTGACTTGAGCTGATTAGTAGGATTGGCTTGAGTACGCCTGCAAGGAGCCTAAGGACCCATGCACCCTTTGTGGTTGATCTCCACCGGACCAGCTATTTCATATATGATTTTGTAAATTTTTGTTTTTTGTTATTATTTAAGATAGAAATAAGTTAATTAAAGATTATTTTGATTCCTTTGTCGAATAATAAAACAAATAAATAAATACTGATATGTTTGATTGGGAAAAATATTTTGGATCCTTGATAAGGGCTCCATTAGGTCGGGTCGATCACAGGAAGCCATCACACTGATCGGGCCACAAATAGCGGAGAAAACAATCAAGCAAAACTGGCTTGTTGTAGTCTGTTGTTGTTTTTCATTGTTCTACATCTAAAATTAGAAAAATAAACTTTCTCCAACGATTTTGGTTGTGGTGCAACAACAATCCTCAACTTTCAACCAAAATGGCCGATTTTCACTCATTATCTTTGGCTGTATCTCGACTATTTATGGACCGATCTGGGCGTGGCATATCTCTCCGTGATCGGGAGAGTCCTGCCAATCGACTGCCGCCGGAAAAAGGGACATCAATTTTTTCACGATTTTCGCAAAAAATCATGATGGTTACATCATTAAATTTGCCAAAAATCGGCCTCATTTTCGAAGTCGAGATTTTGATGCCGATCGACAGTCTGGATCCTCGCGAGCCTGGGAGACTTGGTCCTTGACCGATCTGGCCCTATTTGTCTGAGATATGCCCTTCCAAAGATTGGGATTTGCGAGTAATTAAAATACTGGTTTTTCCTGCACGCTATATCTCTGCGATACATCGGCCGATCGGAGCGTGGCATGTCTCTCCGTGATCGGGAGAGTCCTGCCAGTCGACTGCCTCCGAAAAAAGGGACATCAATTTTTTCCCGATTTTCGCAAAAAATCATGATGGTTACATCATTAAATTTGCCAAAAATCGGCCTCATTTTCGAAGTCGAGATTTTGATGCCGATCGACAGTCTGGATCCTTGCGGTCCTGAAAGAGTTGGTCCTTCACAAATTTGTTCGTGTTTGTCTGAGATATAGTCATCCAAAGACTTCTAACAACATCTTGATGAATCTAAATTCTAGTAGTCCGCGTAGTCCCTCCTTTGGTTGCCATAGACAAAGTCCTTGTTGTCGATGGCCAGGTCGAAGGAAAACGTCGGCCTGTTAGGTTCGGATCTTGCAAGGAGTGCGTTTCTGTCCTGCTGGGATATGGTTCTGTCTGGCTGGCATAATTCTTGGATAGGACTCCGTCTGGCAGGGGGAAATCGGATACGAATCGTTTTGCGGCAAAGCATAGGGTACAGTCCTCGGTGAAGGAATATTTATTTTAAAATAAATCCACAATTATATACTGAATCACTTACGTGTTTCGAAGCTGAAGCCCAGCGCTTGAAGCGGTGGCGTATGAATGGGGGGCTGCTTTCCCGAGGACGTGAACCAACCATTCCGCTGTCGATCTTTTTTCCCGGCTGCAGCGGACGGGACGCCACATTGTCAGCAGTGGCCTCATGGCTATGGACATGGCCTGCAGTGGACAGCCATCAACGAGAGCACACTCGCTCATATGAACCGGAAGAGCAGAAGGGTGAAGGCCCTCATACACGATGGTGGGCACATCGGCTTCCGCGGGCACGCAAGAGGTATTGCTGGCCACTGGAGGAGGCGACCTGCTTAAATGAAAGGAAGAGTTAAATAAAGTAAATGAATAAATAATAACCTAATAACTTTACCTGGCGGGGCAAGAGGAGGGCCAGAGAGGGTCTCGGCCAATAGAGTTGGAGGGAATAAAAAATAAAAGAAGAACAAAGGAAAAATAGTCAATGAAAAAGATGAATAGGGGGGAAACAAGGAATACTTACTCGGTCAAAGCCGATGAGGGCAGACGGAGTCGGTAATGTATGCACCTGCGAAGCACGAACGTCGTACTTCGGACACGGCAAAGTGAAGGTTAAGGCCTCGGGCCGCATATCCTGGCAAATATATCATGAAATATGCTTGAAGGAATAAAAGATTTATTATCAGGGATCATCGGTTTTCAATTAACTTTCAACAGGGTTCACAGGGTTTTCGGAGCGAGCCAGACCCAGCTTTGCCATACTTGAAATCATTTGTCCATTTCTTGTTTTCTGATGCGAATGCAAAGAAAATAAAAATGCTAACACACATACGTACTTGCAGGTTCTGTCTCCGAATGGGCAAATGATTACTACAAGCTGTGTAGACCCATATGATAACCCAATTTATAGGTCCTTAATGCCCATAATCATGGATGACATATATAATATTGCTCAATAACAATTTACAGTGCAATATACATATGATATGGTTTTTGTATCTATGTGTTTTTATGTTTATGCGATTAGATTTTACGAGTATAAGTACAAATATATATATTCGCACCTGGAATACCCTAATGGACAATTATTCCAGTGTGAAGTCATGTCTTCAAAACACAGAACTCAAAAACCAAAACCTATGCATGCAGAATGTGCTACTTTTTGAACACCAATCCATTTATACGCTAGACCCTCAAGAGACACATCTATGTACTATATCGATAGTGATGGCACTGACCGAGGAGCAACAGGCTCAACTCGAAGATACTTAATCTGGACCATGGCACCTGTTCGTCTAAGCCTAAGGGTCGACCGAAGCGCAAATAGAAATATATTACTACAAAATAAAACAAACTTTGCTCAATAATTGCCCTCTCAGGCAAGGCGGTTTGTCACGTGAGAATCCTATTCGGAATAATGCTTACACAAGCGCAGTCTGTCGCCGGGCGGGCCTTTGATAGGTAGGCACCGATCCCACGCCCCAAACACATGTACTCCTGTCACGACTCTCGCACGCAACTGCTGCCCCGGCGACAGGTCAGAGCAACAGTCAGCCCAGAGTCAGAGTCAGAGTCAGAGCCAAAGCCGGAGTCAGTCAGCGACAAAGTCAAAGCCAAAGCTGAAGCCAAAGCCGAAGCCGGAGCCCGAGTGAAGGCAGCCACAATCATTCACATTTAAATTAACATTTCCCGGCACCGATTATCCTAATTGGGAGCTGGCCTTAGACCCCTACGTGGGGCTGTGCGACTGTGGGAGATGTGAGTCGGCTGTTACTTGGGTGCTTGCCGAGCGGCAGGTACAGTCGGCACGCGAGTCTGTTGAAAAATGGATTTAATGTGACGCAAAACAAGCGCGGACTCATAAAAATGAAATGGAAATTAATCAAATTAGCATTTTGTACAAATAGCAAAGCATTACCTCGCTTATGCCAGCGATTTGTAATGCCAGAATTCCGGAAAGAGGATTGTAGGATGTGGGATGTAGGATGTTGGATGGTTGATGGCTGAAAACTCCCGTCCCGGACGGGGACATGCTAGAGCGGTTTAGTTGTACACCCGGAATAAACGTACATGCAATCCGGCCACGCCAAAAAGTGATTGCATAATTACTCAGAAGGCAGGCAAGTGCCAGTGTGCCCCGAGGACCACAAAAGTATCTCCGAATGAAAATTAAAAGTAATGACCACAGCCTCAGCTTAGAGACACATCCCATGCCCATTCCCATGCCCATCCTCATCCCCATCCCCATCCCCATTCCCATCCCCACCGATTGCCCCGAATCAATTAGGCTGCCTGTCCTTCAGTACGAGGTCAGGCAGGCTCTGAGTTCTACTCCATTTTCGGGCTACGCCCTACGCCCAAAAACGTGGCAAACGTAGCTCGGGCTTTCCTCCTGCGATTTTATTGCAACACAATGGTATTTTAAGTGCAAACAATAAAAATGATTTATTGCCCCACAATGAGGGCCGTCTTCGTCGCCGTCTAAGGTGGAAAGGCGAATGTGTTCCTTGGTGGGGCTTTTGGCATTTTGTTTTCTGCTGTAATTAGAATAAAAAATGCATGTGGCTCCAATGCTACACAAAAATTGAATGATTCCCACCTGGGCCCGAATACACGATTATACACTTAGACTGAATTATTTACAAGTCTTTTGGGGAACGCCGTGTTTGAAATGTTCGATATTCATTAAGAGCCTTCTCTGAGCAGCCTTCAGGCTCGTCTTCAAGGGAAAATCCTAAGTGCAGGCTGCAGGCAGGAAGGAGAGTAAAAACTATGCCAAATGTGCAAAATGAAAACTTTTGGGAAAACAAAGAAAGGGTTAGAAGAAGCAAGGGAGTAAAAGAGCAAAAGGTAATGTCAAATGTGGGTTAATATGATTTATGGAAATTTGCCAGCTTCGCATTGGGGAAAAGCACTCGACCCGCACTGGAGCCTTTGTGTGTTTGCCAACTCAGGTGGGTGCCCGTGGCCCCTCAGGTATTCGCTTTCACATTTCCGCTTCCACCCCTCCCCAGGCCCGTGCACACACACAAAGTCGTTTGTGGCATGACTCCGTCCGTGTCTGGGAGGGAGGTGGAACATTTTTACTTTTTGCACAAATTTGTCAACTGAAACAGTTGACGTTAGACTCAATGCAGCTACCAGCCCGCATAATGCCAGGCATTTTTGGTGTCATTGTTAAGGAGCCAAGGCAGCCATCCGCAGACACACACACACACACACACAGACACGATACAGAGACAGAGAGAAAGCCAAAAGGCGTAGACTCGACTCCATTTGCCTGCCTCGGCAATGTCAGTGTCATGTTTGGGGCTGCTGCTGCTCGACACTTCTTTCTGGTGAAAGGTTTTTCATTTGACAAATGCTGATTAAGCCGCCGACTGAGAGTACAAAATATTTGCTTATACGAGTTTCGGGATGGAAAAGCCGGCGGCTGATGATCCGCCTATCCCTGGAGTGCGTCTGTGTCTGGCCATAGTCTGGGCCCATTCAATCAAGTCTCATCAGCCGGTGACTGAAGATGTCCCTCCCGAATATGTTTTTCAGCATTAAACAGATTGCTGCTGCTGCTGCTGCTGCCGCTGTGAAACCCCAATCGTTGGCGAGATTGAAAAGTCAACATGGCCGAAGGTGACAACAAAACCAAATAAATGGACATGACACGCATATTTAATACGCCCCCTCACACACACACACACAAACAGACACCCCATGGCCCCATCTGCCACCCTCTCACGCGCGTGGCCTGTGCCACATTCTGGATGATAGGATCGCTAGGCAGGGGTCCTGCTTGTCATGATATTTGTGTTGCCTTTTCTCCTGATTTTATTGTGTGAATATGTGGCACATTATTCATGATTAGGTTGAGGTCGTTTGCTCCTCGTTTTTGTGTATGTGTGCCACCCCCCAACCCCCACCCATCAGTAAGTGTGTGAGTGGAGTGTTTACCCACTTTGATTGCTTGACAAGGTGGCTGTCCTGCACTGTCCTGTCCCGCTCGAGTAAGGCTTGAAGTCTGAGGGCTATAATTAGTCGCACAAGTTCCGCTTTCGGTAGGCAAAAAGCCGGGCGCTAATGAGGCCAATAACTCAATTGCGGCCAGGGGACAGCCGCACAAATCTCAAAAGTTTAAAGCGTTTACACACCATTTAAATCAAAATTAATGTCCGATTGCCGGGCCAGGGCCACCTGGAAGGCACCAGCAGTAGTTGTAGTACGAGTATTAGCTGGAAATCATTTCGTTTTAATGACTCCACGCTTCGAATAAACTTTTTAATTACAAACTTCAATTACAATTAACGAGCGGCCGCTAAGCCGGAACACAAAACCGGAATGGAGCCGGGGCTCGGCTCAGAGAAGCAAAGATTCTGCTCCGTCTATCTGTTGTGTGGCTCCTCCGTTTGCATAATTGCCTTGGTCCAAACGGGCTGACAATGACGGTACAAGGCAGGGCAGGGCAAGGCGAGGCGAGGCAGGGCAGGGCAGGGCAGGGCAAGGCGAGGCAAGGCAAGGCACTGGCTAAGCTGCTTCCTTGGCCCTGGCCATGGCCAACGCCAACCCATCCATGGATAATTAAGAATAATAATTACCTCCCTTTCTGCAGTTTATCTGCGTCTGTCGGGCTCTCATTTTTTATTTCCTTTCGCCAAAGCTGCAAATAATGTTGATCCGCCCTGCCCGGGGATTGGCTGTGGTTTCTGAAGGACATACCTCGAAGTACGTATATATTTCCCAATTAATGCGATAATGCACTCGTTCTGGAGTCTCCAATCCATGCAAATTTTGTACCAATTTGTTGCTGACTCCGGCCCCTGGCAGAGGGAATAAAAAACTTTGTTCGCGAATAAAATTTAAATTGAAACTCAAAAGAGAGCACGAGAGATGTCAGCTTTAACTTTATGCGTTATGTGCCTGTGTCCCCCTATACCCCCCAACCTCCCCCCCTACCTCCCCCCAAGCCAAGTTTCAGCCGCTATTTGTTCTACACAGCTCGGAAAATGGCAATTGGCTTGCGTTTGCCCCCAACTTTGTTTCACTTTTGCCCGTCGCGGCTTCTAATTTTGCCTTTTTGTCTGGTTTTTTTTTTTTGTTTTTTGACAAAATAAAAACTTTTCAATTTGACTTCTTGTTTGCCGAAACTCAAAAGTTTCGAATGAGTGAAACAAACAAAAAAAGAACCGAAAAAGAGAAAAAGAAAAGGCATACCTGGCACCGAACAAAAGACTTGAAATGGCCAATGCTGACAGTTCAAAGGAATCTGTCCCAGGCAGGTTCGAGTGCGGGCACAACTTTATTCAAATTCTCGTGAGCCACCGAAATAGTGGGTCCTCATATGTGTCGCCAGCTGTCGATCTTTTCAAGGTGCGATGTGGCCTAATGGCTGGCCAGCAATTCAATTGTATTCCTGGTTGCCATCGCTCTTTGCCACTCTGCCGATTTTCAATTTCCATCAGCAGACAACAATATCCAGCT